TAATCATTAAACAATTGCTATGAAAATCCACAGTACTTGCAGGCCATCCTCAGGGCCCAAACTTAAAACAAGACCTTAAATGATATGATTGAGAATTGTAATGATGTTACCCCTTTGCCCATCAAAGTCAATTGCAGGCCGTACAGCTTGCGGTTGGGGCCCGCCATCCAGGGACCCGTGGCCAGCAAGGGACTGCTTTAAATGCGGTCCAATCCAGGGCAGCTTTGCAGGCAGTGCCCCCTAAGCCGTCTCCTGCTACCCCTAACCTCAGTGAGCCGCAAGGCAGGCCAGCCCGGCCGCTCCTCCCTCTGTCCTCGCTGTAGAAAGGGAAAACATTTGGCCAATCAAATGCGCTCCAAGACAATTCCTTGAAACCCCTTGCACCCCCTTTCGGGAAACGGCCTGAGGGGCCAGCCCCAGGCCCCCATCCTATTCAATTTCAGTCAGCCTCGGGAACACGCAAAAGAGAGCCTCCAGACTTTAGGACGTCCCTCCGAGCAACCACAGGGAGCGCAGGAGGTGGACTTGTGTGCCTCCTCCGACACAAATTAAGACCTGAGGATGGTGTTCAGATTTTGCCCACTGCTCCTTGGACGCCCCCCCCCCCGGGCTAATATCTTTTTTATTCGTGGGCCGAGCCTCCCTCACACTCTTGCAGGCTCCATAGTCAACCCCTCCATCAGTAGATAGTGACTTTACCGCGGGAAATGTAATCTTAAGCCAGTGTGTTACCGCCCTGTGTATGTCTCTAAGGACAATCTCTCTTTTTTCCACCACACCAACGACCCACACCCCACGTCCCACTTGTCATATATCATAAGTAATCAAAAAAAAAAAAAAAAAATATAGACCCAGGCCAGGAGACGACAGTGGGCAGAGAAGACGTTAATTATACTCACCCAGGGAACCCCCTGAGAAGAATTGCTTGATTCTGTTTCTCTTCCAGAAATACAATGACTCCCGAAAATGACGCTGCCCTCCTGTGCCTGGTTCTGGTCGTGATCGACAGGCACATCGCAACCAACCATCCATCAGATCTACAACTATACATGGCAGGTAATTAATGAGGCAGGAGACGTTGTTAATTCCTCCTCACATCTCTCCGCCGTTATACCATGGGATCCATTAGAAGTCGACCTATGCGTATTAGCTCTTGGGGCTAAAGATCCTGCGTGGGGCCTTCCCGCACTTTACGCCCCTCAGCCAGCTCCTCCAACGGCTGACTCCTCCCCAGGCTTTTGCTCCTCGGGAGCCGGACGCTCTACGACAAGATATAAAGACATCTATGTTTGCCCGGGGGCCCATCGACCTCGCGCCAACAACTACCAATGTGGTTACGCCCCTGACTTCTTTTGGCTTCCTGGGGCTGTGAGACCACTGGTGATGCCTACTAGAATCCCTCCTCTTCCTGGGATTATATCACCGTCAGAAAGCGGTTTCCCCGTCAAGCCCCTTTGTCCCCTTATGCCCCACAACCGCCCACTGACCCTCAGTGTAACAATCAGTGGTGCAACCCCCTGTTAATTTCATTCACTGAAGCTGGAAAAAAGGCT